CAGCCCGCGCAGCTTCGACACCGAAGCGCCTCCGCACGCGAACGACAATAATGACTGCCACCGTCAGCTACCCCTATATACCCTAACCACAACAACACACACGACGAGCTTGATTGTGCACCCTTGGGTCCCCGACAATAACAACACACGCGATGGACTTGGTCGCGCAAAAGGACGGTTAGCATCACCCGGAACTGGAAATTTCGCCGCGCTCCGAACCTCGTGTCCACGCTTTGCCGTTGTCAGTAGGAAGGCTAGCCGTGGGTGCAGCACCTCACAAGTCGTCGCGGCGCGGGCCCCAACAGACCCCTGCGAACACCTATTGCCCCTATCGACCAAACTACCTGATTTCGAAAGGCAAAGGTAGAACAGTGCGCAACTCCAACACCCAGGCGGCGTGGAGAAGAAAATTGCAACCATGGATGGAAGACCTTCCCGGAACCCCAACAAATCCCGGTCCGCGAAAACGAGAAGGCCATCTCCGACTTGTGCGATGGCAATGTTGACACCTGACCGCGCGAACCGCAAAGCACGCCGAGGCAGAAGCATGTCAGCGACTGAACCTCACCTGTCGCGACGATTCCTTTCATCTGAGGGCAACGAAGATCAACGGCAAACCGCATTTCGACCCGGCCACAGAAACTGTTGTCAACCCCAATAAACCCCTTTAAGGGCAATCCTCAAGACGAAACATTTTGCGCAACACCAGGCCACCGCGCACGAAAACGCACGGGGAAGTCTAAGCCGTTGAAAATGAAGGTCAGAATAACGCAGAGTCCCGAAGCTCGCAGGAGCCGTCGTTCAAGCGGGCATTGGAGCACCAAGAAACCGGTTTTCGCGCGGCCGGTGTCATTTGAAGGGAGCGTAAGCGAAGCACCCAAGGAACGCCATTTTCGGCGCACAGAAGGAAGGTCATCGCACTTTCAATTGGTCGTCGTGCGACAACACTCGCAGAACAGAGGGTAGCGGTGGATGTACCGCCAGACAATTCGGCGCAGCGCGACCCCAAATTGACCCCTACAGACACAGACGGCGAGCAATGTTGCACACCAATACTCCTCGCGCAATCGACTCGCACGCAAAGGTCCACGCATCATGCGAAGGACTGTTAGATTCCCACGGATCCTCAAAGTCCACCAGGACCGAACTCGGAGGAATGCGCGTGCAGCGAGTAACAGATTTTCGCACGGCTGCAGCTATTGGAACGGGTGGTTGGCGTTTGCACAGAAGCAGGCCATGCTTGTGGGAACCCCCCACAAACCCTCATAAGCCATTTCTTGAATCGAGCATTTTACGCACCCCTCGGCCTCTGACTTCCAGAACACGTCGGGATCGACGGCAGACCGACAACAGGCACGTCTGCTGTCATCGACGGCAACCCCCACAAACCCCTACATGGGCATTTATGACGGCGAAGAATTTTGCGCACCAATACTCCTCCTCGAAGAAACTTGCACAGAAAGGTCCACGCCTCATGCGAAGGACGGTTAGATTCCCACGGTTAGATTCCCGCGGTCAGATTCCCGTAAATAACATGTCGAAATAAAGAAATGGATGGAAGACTCCCTCCCCTGCAACCCTTTCAAACCCCGACTCCGCTAGTCGACAAGGCGAACCTCGATTCGCGCGCCGGGAACGTCGACGTGCGACAGCGCGAACCGAAAAGCGCTCCGGAACACGAGCACGTCCGCGACAAGACTCCGCGCTCCGCGACAGTCAAAACCCGTAGGGGGCAACATAGATCGACGGCAGACCGATGAAGGTCACGTCTGCTGTCACCGACGGCCACCCCCATAAACCCCTACGCGGGCATTCCAGGCGGCGAGGAATTTTGTGCACCAATACTCTTCCCTGGACCAACTCGCACGAAAAGGTCCACGCCTCATGCGTGACGAGTATGTCTTTGCATGTGCGCGTGCGGTTGATTTTGTGTTGGAGTGTTTTTTTTTCGGGTTTGTGTATGTAGTGTCTCGTGTCTCTACTTGAGGGGCGTGTTTGTGTACGCGGCGTGTGTGCGCGTGTGTGTGTTTGTGTGAGTGCGTGTGTCTGTTCGTATCCGTGTGTGTTGTTTCGCCGATTGAACGCGCGAAGGTTGTCACCAAGGTGTGCGGCCATGGTTGAATGAATTGTTTCGCATCCCGAGGGTACTCCTGCTGTATTCTGGCGTTGAGCGACATGCGTGCGTAATATCCGGCGATTCCGTACGCTCTAATGAAGAACTGTAATCTGTTGTCCATCTATCCATCCATTGTATCTCTGTCGCTGCGTGGTTCGACCAATCATACTTTGGGCAGGTCGAGGGCTACGACATTCAAACATCAAACAGGAACAATGGAGTGTGGTCAGTGGTCAGGATGTGATGAATTGATGAATGCCGATAGCTCCGATCGAACGCGCTGTGGCCAGTCACGAAACATAAACACCCCCCGCTCGATCGGATGTTTCTTCGTTCATCATTTTCATACACAACAAGAGCACACGAGATCCACACGTTTGTGTGTGGATCTCATGTGATCTTGTTGTGTACGAAACTAATGAATGGAGAAACATCCGATCGAGCACGGGGTGATTATGTTTTTTGACCGACCACAGCCTGTTCGATCGGAGCTATCGGCATTCGTTCGTTCATCATATCCTGACCACTGACCACATTCCATTGTTCCTGTTTGTTGTCCCAACGCAGTAGCCGTCGATCTTCCCAAAGGATGATTAATCGAAACACGCGGCGACAGAGATACAATAGATGGGTAGATAGACAACATTCCTTGATTTGATAGTATTCATTATTGATTATAGACAGTCCAGAGCACAAGGTACGTAATATCCCTTGATTATATGCAGTCCAGATCGTTGGAGCACGATCAGATCACTCTCGACATTGTCACCGCGTGTTTCGATCGGTCGTTCATTAGGCAGTTCTCATGAGCTGAGTAACTGATGCATGATGAAAGCTTCGATCGAGCGCGAGGCAATCGGTCACGAAACATAATAACCGCGCGGCAGATCGGATCTTTCTCCACTCATCAGATCAATCATCCACACGTGAGTGGTGACATCGGCCATACCGCACGTGAGTGATGAACAGGACCATCACGATTGATCACGATACTGCCGCTGATCTGCCGAATGGATGATCAATCAAAGCAGAAGGTGACATTGTCGGGAAAGTAGACGCACCAAGTCGACCAATCGCCGAACACGAACAGAGAGCTCGCGATCGGTCGATTGATCGTGTGTGCTGTCTCAACGTTGTCACCGCGTGTGTGTTTCTCGGTATTATCAAATGTAATAACAAAACACACGTGGCACCGTGCACGAACGACCAACCTGGCGGCGAGCGACCGATCCATCACACTCGTTGATGTACCCCGAGCGAACAGTAGACTGGTCAATAGATCCACCACTACCAACATCACTGACCGACAATTCGGACTGCGGTCGAACGACCAGTTGATCCAGCAGTCCACCAACCACACAGCCGAACGTGTGTTTGCGTTGCAACCGTGGCATCACCCTCTGCGCGATCGCCCAACCGGCAGGCGTACCACCGATCCAGCAAACTGGTTGACAGGAGAGCGTTGGCACAAGTAACTGATTAGTTGATTGATCGACTTTTCGGTTTGTGGTTGGCCAATTAGCTGATTGATCGGCCGGTCGCCGACCAGGGCACCGACATGCTAGCCGAGCGGTTCACTTTTCTCGCCCTGATTGCACTGCATTCGACCTGCCTCCTCGTCCATTGGTCGTACGCAGCACGCAGGGCAATTGGTCCACCACACGGTAGAAACCCGTGAAAAAGGTCGATCCCTGATCGAGAATGGACAAAAGACAGTTCGTGACGACGTTGTTGCACATCGAACGTTGCTGGCCATCGAACCTTAGCGGCCATCGAACCTTGTTTGGAATGGAACCTGGCACCCCATCAAATCTCGGCGGGCATCAAAATGTTGGCGGACATCGAACGCCACTGGACGGCAAACCTCGTCGGTCATCGAACGTTGTCGGTCATCCAACGACGAACTTTCTTGAAGTCCGCCAGGATCCGAACTTCAAGAAAGCACGGGAAGGCGAGTTTGATAGACATCTGTGTCTCTCCCACGTAATTTCGCCAAGCTCGGATCCCGGTGGACCTCCGGTTCACGCCTTCCGCAAGACCCAACACGCGGTGCAACCCCAGCGGGCAACCACAGCGGTGGACCTGTGACAATGTGAAGTCCGCTGGAATCCGAACTTCAAAAAAGAGGGGAAGGCGAGTTTGATAGACAACTGTTTCTCTCCCACCGCATTTCGCCAAGTACGGATCCCGATAAACTTCAGGTTCTTGCCTTTCGTAAAACCCAACTCGAGTTGCCACCCCAGTGCACAACCACAGCAATGGACCTGTGAAAATGTAAAGTCCGTTGGAATCCGAACTTCAAGAAAGAATGGAAAGGCGAGTTTGATAGACAACTGTTTCTTTCCCACGACATTTCGCCAAGTTTGGATCCCGGCGAACTTCAGGTTCTCGCCTTTCGTAAAACCCAACTCGAGTTGCAACCCCGGTGCACAACAACAACACTGGACCTGTCAAAATGTGAAGTACGCCAGGATCCGAACTTCAAGAAAGAATGGAAAGGCGAGTTTGACAGACAACTGTTTCTCTCCCACAGCATTTCGCGAAGTACGGATCCCGGCTAACTTCAGGTTCTTGCCTTTCGTAAAACCCAACTCGAGTTGCAACCCGAGTTCACAACCACAGCGGTGGACCTGTGAAAATGTGAAGTCCGCCGGAATCCGAACTTTAGGAAAGAATGGAAAGGCGAGTTTGATAGACAGCTGTGTCTCTTCCACGGCATTCCGCCAAGTTCGGATCCCAACGAACTTCAGGTTCTTGCCTTCCGTAAAACCCAACTCGCGTTCCAACCCCAGTGCACAACGACAGCAAGGGACCTATGTCGTTTGATTGCTCGCCAACTATGTTTACGAGTGTCACCGTCCCCGTGTGTGTCGTTTGGTATTTGCGCATGGTGTGTAGGGCACGTAATGGATGGGACCTTCTCGACACCACAAATCTTTGAGTCGATCTTCTCGACACCACAAACCATGAGTCCCCAAATGCACATTCGCTTGGCAGAACCGTTTCCTCCTTGCGCGACATCAGTGCGGCATTTCAACGGTGTGATGACTACGATCCACGGAGCGACCGCAAAGGACTTCAAAGAGGACCCCTGGATGACCGTCGTCCCATGCAGGGACGCGCATATTGACGATTGGTGTGATGGGAATTCGGCCACGATGGAGAGTCGCTACCCTTCGACAAGCCAGTACAAATTCGCCAACATATTGGAGTTCGGGAACCTCATCCCGCTGTCTGACGCTGTCCTCAAACACAAGTTCCTGAACCACATGCGCAGAGCGCTGGGCTGCATTAACCGCCATTTCAGCCGCCTCGAATGCCACTACGTCAGCTCGTCGCCACGAACTTGGGGAGGCTCGCGGAAACAAGAGTTGCTGGACTGCGCTCGTCACTGCTCGTTCCTGGGCCAGTACCCGCTCCGGTGCCCTGGGAATTCTCCACAAGTTGTGTCATACTGTTGTGTGCGATTGACTGTGTCCGGGTCTGATTTCGCCAGAGCTCTATGTGTCGCTACGTCGAACAAGAGCACGAAACTCGTCGATGCAGTTGTGCTTGTATCACGCAACGAGGTGGCAATCGAGGGGTCCAAGTTCGTGCCAACGCCCGGGCCTGAACGTGTAGATGGGTGGCGAGATTTGGTTATAGCAGGGCCGGTCCAAAACTTTTCGTTGCTTAGGGAGGTCGAGGAGAAAGTGTCCGCCATACGGGACTGTATAGGGAACTCCTTAGCACGACCGGGAGTGTTTCTTAGGATGAAATACATGTCCGTTTTTTCTGAAACTGCAACGGTCGACGATCCGCAGGTCCGCGTTTACGGATCGTCAATGAATGCTTTGTATGGCTACGGTTCGCGACCTCGTCCCCGAGGAACCGCGATTGTCACAAGATCTGGACGTGTGGTTGGACATCATGCTTAAGCGAAAAGAAGGGAGACGAGTGAGAGGCTGTCTCTTATACACATCTAGATGTGTATAAGAGACAGGTATAGGGAACTCCTTAGCACGACCGGGAGTGTTTCTTAGGATGAAATACATGTCCGTTTTTTCTGAAACTGCAACGGTCGACGATCCGCAGGTCCGCGTTTACGGATCGTCAATGAATGCTTTGTATGGCTACGGTTCGCGACCTCGTCCCCGAGGAACCGCGATTGTCACAAGATCTGGACGTGTGGTTGGACATCATGCTTAAGCGAAAAGAAGGGAGACGAGTGAGAGGCTTGTGTGCTGTCGAACATAGCAGAGTTTTAGCAGTGGAGAAAAGCGCGGGAGGCAGCAGTTGCTAGTGCAAGCCGTCTCTTTCCATGTCGCGCCCTCTTGAAGTTCGGATCCAGACGAACTTCGCGGTTTGGCATGTGCGTCCTACCGGCCTCCGAGCTTCGAGTGCTGAGCGGAGTTGGAAATGGTCCTGCTACCAATTACGCCTGGACTCGATGACTGCTGCCATCGAAACCTGCGGTCGGTTGTGGAACCCCGGTTTTTTTCCTCGTGCGCCTTTGGATGTTTCTCTCTGTCTCTCTTTCTCGCGTCCTCCTGAAGTTTGGATCCCGGCGAACTTCAGGAGTCGCCTGTCTATTGCCACAGACGGTGGTATTCCGGATCCTTCATGGATTCTGGCAACAGCCAAAGTCCGCCCTAATCCGAACTGCTCCAATTTTCGATCTCGCATTATGCCCAGCTTGGCACTGGATGGACCCAAGCTCGAAAGCGAAAGTCGTGTCAACATTTCGTAGGTCCCTGGACTCCTCCATTTCAACCAGCCTTTCATTCCGGTGTGGCCTTCCTGGGCCGAGTTTGAGTTTAACAACCTTAGACTTGCGGATCGTGTGTCCGAGACGCCGTTTCTGCCTGTCACATCGTTCTGAAGTTTGGATCCCGGCGAACTTCACGTTTCAGGAGGTGCGTTGCTTTGTCGTGAGTCTTTGTGGTTCCGGGTGGGTTGCACAACCCGCCCGGCAACAGTTCCGGAGTGCGTTTGGTCGAGCACGGTTCTGGGACGCTGGCTGCATGGCTGCCTCTCTGTTCTGGTTTGGCTCCCGACGAGCTTCTGCTGTTGGACTGTTGGGAACACTACCCCGTCGAGCGCGAGCTTCCAACATGACCGCAAGTTGATTCCTGCGAAAAATTCTCGAAATTTGCTTCCGCCGTCTCTATCTCACGCACCGTCCTTTTGTTCGGATCCCGGCGGACTTCGCGATTTTCACTGTGCGTTTGTCTGTCTTTGTTCTTCGGGGTGCCTCGTGTGCCGCATAAACAGCGTGTGATCCCATGCGCACTGCGAGTTTTCACTTGCTTCTCTCTCTCTGTCTGCCTCTCGGTCTCTTGCCCGCATGAAGTTCGGTTCCCGGCGGACTACCCCTTCTCACCGTTCCGGATTTGGGTGCCCGGGTGTCTTCGTGTGCGGCTTTCGCTGCGCTGCAGCCTGTGTTGACGTGCGGCAGCGAGTGTTCTGTTTCTCCTGTGTTTTGACAGACATTGACTTCATGGTGTGCTGTTCGATTTGTGTTGTCGTTCGCAGACAGTATGTCTTTTTCCAAGGGCGAGGTGGAGCCAACAGGGACCTCCGGGAAGGAATCATGAAAAGATTCCACGAGGCGGTCGTCTACTGCCACGCAGGGGTGGTCGAACCATTCGAGGTCGAAATGGTTCATCGACTGGTGCTGTGGAGACGCTTCCAACCCCACTGCGCAGCCATGTGGTCCTGTCATCTTCATCGATGATAGCAGAAGGYGTAGAGTGCTTGGTGCCATCTTGCGGTGGGAGGACGCAAAGGGGGGCCGGCGACATTTCTATACGCAGAAAGTTTATGGCGCCAAGGGCAACGTCGTTGCCAATTCGAAAGGGACATTGTTGGACCTCGAATTGTGTGAGGGGTTCGGAGCGGGTGCTGTGAACACCCCGTTCTATAGAGAACTCGTTCTCAGGGGCCGTTTTGTTTTAGCGCGTGAATTTTTCGACATGTTGGAGGACAAAAACATCGCTCTAGACGTCCCCTGCGACGTCAACCCATCCCTGGATCTGTCGTTACCGTTGAAGCTGTGCAGCGGTTGCGAGTCCAGCGGGGCAGGGGCGGAGGGTGGTGATCTGGGTTCTGATCCCGCCACTCAGCTGCACCGTGGCGAGAGCCGAGGTCAGTTCGACGACAGCGAGGATGAGGGGACTGCTCTGCCGTTGAGTGACACGTGGCGGTCTGTGTTGTCTATTCCTGGGGTTCAGATTGATGCTCCTGTTCAGCGGAAGAGTACGAGGCCTGCAGTATACGTGGCAGCCTATTCGGAGGTCGACTTGGAGGCGAGCGAGGGACACGGTGTGGAGGAGGTGGACGCGGGAGGCCTGGGCTCGCAAGGAGCTCCGCAAAAGAGGAGCGAGGATCGTCCAGACGAGTTCGCCGGTTCTACGAAGAAGTTAAAGAGCAAGGCCCCCAGGACTGCGGGGGAGAAACACAAGGGGACCGAGGGGGAGCAGGCTCGGCAGGTTGCCAAACGACCGTCTTCGAGACAGAAGCAGCCCGAGTCTGGACCGTCTTTTCCACCGACAACAGGGACTCCCATCGACGTCGACGCCGGGTACTTCCTCGAGTACAAAGACGGCGTTCGGACAAAGCGGGAGTTCGACATTAGCCCTGCGCAGGTCGTCGACCTCGGGGACTGGGAGGACCTGTACAACCAGCGGTCCCTGGATCCCGTGCTCATGGAAGGGATCAAGGAAGCGATGCAGTTGGCGTTCGAAAACAAAGCGCAGTCTTACGATTTACCAACCCTGAAACTGGCGCCGCTGGGGCTTGATAAACCGACTCCGGGGACCAGGGCAGAACGTCTGAGACCGGAGGATTGGAGGGATGAGCTGGCGGGACAATACTACTACTACGCGGTGCGTGGGCAGCACAACGCGGCTGCAGCGAGGTCGTTGCTCGGCAGCGAGGTGGCCAGGAAATACAATTTCGAGCGGTGGCCTGCACGAATGGTCTACTTTTCGGACGACGACTTGGAAGGGTACTTCCTTGTCAGTTCCCAGGACAGCAAGAAGGACCTGAAGTCGCCCCCATGACAGCTGAAGTTGTCAATGAGGGACATTAGGTGGCAGTGGAAGCGCGCCGGTTGCCCGCGTGCCGGTATGGGGAACCCCATCGGAAAACAGGATCAGGTCCGGAAGTGGCGTGAATTCTGTAATGTCGCACTCAACATGACACAGCACAACAACTTGTGGATTCTCGCAGATCAGCAGGGCGAGGAGGCCATCAGGAAACAAGGCGCTGCCCTGCGTTCCTATTTCCCGCTGGCGATGGCAGGGGAGAACGTCTGGAAACTGGCCGTCAAGTTTTTCGAGAAATGGGAGACAGGCAGATTGCTCGGACACGACGGCGCAAAGTGGATCATGCGGAAGAAGAAAGTCAAAAAGTGAAGCCTGGGGTTGCATACATCCATAATGACAAGCTGGGCAGGAAGGAGGTCGTGTACAACGTCCCTGTGGAACCGCCGTCAAAGAAAGGCAAAAAGGAGAAAGAGGAGGGCGAGTGGTTCGTGCAAGTGCCAGAGCCAGACGCGCATTGTTGGAAAACGATGGAGTCGATGACAAACAACGAGAAGTGCCGCGTCTTGAAGAAGGTGCTCGCTTGCGAGGTGGTTTGGGTACAGGCCGGCTCCTCAGCGTTGGCGAAGCTCGGAAAGCTGAGCGTCCAGGAGGTGGTGAATTTGGTGAAGTGCGACCGGGTGCTGGTGCGTCTGTGGAACTACTACTAGTTCAAGCACTTCAAAAGGCCGGACGCGGATTGGAGCCAGAGGTTCCCGTTCCTGAAATCAAGGTCCGCAATTTTCAGACAGTTTGAGAGTCGTGGTTTGGATGCAGAGTTGTGGGACGGGAGCACGAAATACGTCACTGACTCCTCGCTGTTCAAGGACTGCCCGCCCTACATGGGCTGCGACGACGATAGATTGATCGAGGCGACGGAGAAGCTGGCCGGTCACAAGAAGTTGTCCGTCGACTGGAGGAATAAGGTCCTGTCCGTGTTGACTGGCAGTAGACTGAAGAGTCGAGAGATCGCGCTCGCCGAAGGCATTGTGCACATAAAATGGAATGACACGGGCGACGTGACATCCATCGCGCCATTCGGCAACGACCCCTTGGAGGCAGACATAAGGAGTGCGGAGGTAAAGGAGGCAAAGGTTGTCACAAAGAGTCACACGTTCGTCCTCGATCTGTGCAAACCGGTGGACTTGAAGCTTTGGAAACCGCAAGCATTCGACACTCTTAATTCCCAACTCCAGACGTGGTGTCCGTCGCATTGCACGCCCATTGTTTTTGTCCCCCAGCAGCAGAACCTCTCCTTTCTAGCCAGCATGAACCATATTTCTTTCGTCAAGCTGCTGGAAGGGAAGTGGGTGAGGAGGAGTCAACAGAAGAAAAGCTTCCCCGTCGGGAACAATTTGTACACGGAAGACGACCGGATGTACATACTCTTCAAAGGCGACGATTTGCGGGCCAACACGTCCGTCGTCTACGAGGGGAAACTGCCGGCAGGCGCCACTGCTGCATTGCGGGTACCACAGAAGGTTACGCAAACGGATGTGTCCGACATCCCATTCAACGCTTGCGACTGGTCGCATACCTCGCCTGCACGTCGGGGCATTGTGTACGGGGACATGGAACGCAATCCCGCCCAATTCGTTTAGCTTCTCGAATCCATCACCAAGAAGGGGGAGGGTGTCGTCTTCCTCGGGAAGCCACACGCGCGGTCAGTCTGGGAAGTACTGAAGGCAAGACGGCACGTCATCGCGATGGAAGGGAACTCCGAGCTCTTGCAATTTACAATTGATCTCGTCAAAAGCGAGGTCAATTTGGGTGCCCACAATTGCGAGTTCATGGTCGTCACCGAGACTCGGGCTCGCGCGTGGAACAACAAGACGGACATGTGGTTCAAGTTCAGTGCGAGGAAGCGGAACAAGATATACAACTTCTTGTTCCTGCAAACATGGCCGAAGAGAGACCAACGCCAAGTACGTGCGCCGCAAGGACCACATGTTCACGTTGCTCGACAACTACCACGGCGCCTCCCGCATGAATGCCAAGACCTTCCTCGAGAGGTTGCAGTCCCTTTATTTCGTGGAATCAGAGGAGGAGCTGACGTTCGGCAGTTACTCCTCCTTGGTCTCCACGGAAGACGAGGAGACCACCGGCATCGAGTTCGACGCGACCGCGGACGAGGAGGGCAGCAACACCGAAAGCCTCGACCTGCAGTACGACCAACATTYCKCGCAGCACGSTACAGGGTYGTCCTTGGCAGGTCCGTCSACAAGCCCRRCGTCCCTCSTGTCACCGATGGCGAAACCGGCGCCTGGCACTACCCCGATGAAGTTGCTGCAGAGAATGCAAGCTCTGGCCTCCGGCCATCGCTCACTGCGTCCCGGGTCTGACATCCCGCCCGATCATCTGTCTTGGACGAATGCCAACATTCACTTCCTACCTGAGCCTCAAAGTCGTTCCACGGAGGCGGACTGGGGCCATGACATGATTTGGCACCCAGGAGTCATCCAGCCGGCGATCCGAGAGGGTGAGTGGATCGTGGCGGTCGCTGTCTCGGACGGAGGATGGATGCGACTCCCTCGCGGATCGAAGTCTGACTTCCTCGATGTCGCTAGAATTGCGGTCCTCCAGAAAAATGAGGGCCGAGAATAGCTGTTTCGAGCCCGAAGACGTGTCTGTCATTTCCAGAGTCGGGCGATTGTTCGCCGAACTTCAGGACAAGTGCTGGTTGGAGCTGACGGAGGACTACTACAACCTCGACACCAGCCCCTCGAAAGGAAGGGTGGACCGGAAAATCCCCCCTCCCAGTGGGACGCATGTAAGAACAGGGTCCCGGGGACCAGAAGGTGGGGAGAACGAGGGCGACGAGGCTCGGGGCGGCAAACGAGTCCCGGGGCGACAACAAGACGGTGACGAGGCTGAGGGCGGGTCTCAGGGCGACACCACGACAACGGAAGGCAGCGGCGGGGTGGCGAGGGAGGCCCTCAGGCGTCAGCAGTCTACCGGTCCCGATCCGGAATGCTCGGCACAGTCGGAGGACGTGCCCAGTTCATCCGCCTGCTCGGTGATGGCGGCCTTGGTTGCTCTCCGTGTCGGCTCGGTCGAAACGTTCAAGTCCGCCGGGATCCGAACTTCAATGCTTGCAGAAAGGACAGACAGGACGGACACGCAGAGCTGGTCAGGAGCGGGGGTGGCGAGTCCTCATCCCAAAATAGACAGCGGTGCTGTGAGGGACGGGACTTCGCCGCCTGCGGGGGATCGCCAACCGCTTCGGTCGGAGCGAGAGGGTGCGTGTGGAGGGCCCGGTGAAAGGGAGACGACGAAGTTCGCGGGGATCCGAACTTCTCCAGGCAAGGAGTGTGGAGGGCCCGGCGACARGGAGACGGCGAAGTTCGCCGGGATCCGAACTTCTTYAGGCAAGGCGTGTGGAGGGCCCAGCGACAGGGAGTCGGCGAAGTTCGYYGGGATCCGAACATCTTCAGGCAAGGGGGGCCAACCAGGGATATTGGTGCAGGCGGGAGGGGCTGCGTGCGGCGGGCGGGAAGCGCATTCATCGGGAATCGACACGRKTTCGGGCGAAGTGGCTGCATTGCATGCAGCGRAAGAAGGCAGGGTGATGGACAAAGAGAAGGAAGTGGAGGAAGGAGACACAGGGGAGGAATTGGAGGAAGGAAGGGATGAAGGGGAGGAAGAAGAGGATGAAGGAGAGGAAGGGGAAGAAACGGAGTTGGCTGGGTTGCTAGGAGGGCAGGAGGGGGGAAAAGGTGAACTCGATACAGGAGACGACGAACGGACTTTCGGCGACGACGATGACAGATCTGGGGGGTCTTCAGACGGATTCGGGCAGCCGTACGGAGAACACCGCGAGGAAGACGAGTACGACGATGGCACGACACTGGGTATGGAGACACAAGTGGTCACAAGCCTTTCGGCAGAACGTGATGACTATGACGTCCAAGCAATGACGTCTGTCGTCGATCTCCAACACCAGTTCAACGAAGCTCGTGTAGCAGTCAGCCTGACTAAACCGAGTGTGCGTATTGACATCGAAAAAGTTATCGACGGCATCCTGGTCGACCACCAAATGTCCGCTCAGCCGTCCTCGACGCCTGGTGTCGACGACCCTTTCGACGTCAAACCTTCCGGGGGATCTGTCGTCGATTTCTCGCCGATGAGCTCTCCGATGCTGTTGCCAACCATCGCCAGCGAAGGAGAACGCGGGATCGGGGGACGACAAGATGTCACATCCCCGAAAAAAACTGCCGCCGGCACTCGAGCCCTCGACGTGCTGGCCTTGCCTGCGCCAACTTCGCCGATTAAGGAGCGGAGAGACAAACCAGCTGGTAAGCAGTGACCAACGCCACTCTGTCTGCGCGCCAGTGACCTCAATGTCTGTCAATGCATATGAGACAAAAACATGTGTGTTTTTGTTGAAGCGTTCCCTCACATAATGGAAGGATGGTGTTTCTCTTTCGGAATGAGTGGTGGTTCTAGTCCGGCGGCATCCGCACTGCCAAGGCCGCTGCGTAACGCGGTTACTCTTCTGGTGCCTCGATTGGGAAAAGTCCGCCGGGATCCTGACTTCACGAATGTTTGGCCTCCGCGTTTGTGGCTTGTTGAGGTTTTCCCTTCTGAAGGGCGGGGGTGTCGAGGTCGAACGCACTGCTCTTTTTGTTTTCTAGCGGGGCCTGCGCGAAAGTATTCTCTATCTCTCTCATGGCTAAACGGGGCTCTGTAAATAAATAGGTCCTGCGTCTTCCACATTTCGTGGTTCTTGAGTTGTCGTTTTCGTCGGGTTCGTCTTGGATTACGTGAGTTCATTTTCCGTTTTCTCTTCCTTCGGTTGCATAGGGGTTGGGTCATCTCCCTGGGTTGGAAAAGTCCGCCAGGATCCGGACTTCAGAGATGTTTGCCTTCCGTTTCTGTGACTTGATGTGCTTTTTCCTTCTGAAGGGCGGGGCTGTCGAGCTCGAGTGCACTGCTCGTTTTGTTTTGCAACGTGGTTTGTGCGGAAGTTCTCTTTCCCTCACTCTCATGGCATGACGGGGTTCTGTAATTGCATGGGTCCTGCGTCTTTTAGATTTCGTGGTCCTTTAATTGTCGTTTCGTCGGGTTCTTCTTTGGAAACGTGTATTCACTTTCCGTTTTGTCTTTCTTTTGTTGTCCAGGGGTAGGGTCGTCTCGAACACGGAGACCCTCTAAATATCCGGAACACATACTGCATACAGTCCCGGGGTTGACGACAAAACACAAGGACATGTTAAAGGCGTCAGGGGTTGATGTCGAAATCGGGAAAAAGGAGCATGTCATTGCCATTGAGGAGTGTCTTTCCCTTCTGCCCCCAGAGAAAGGGACATATCCACGATCTGTGACTAGGCATCAGGCCATGTATGAGAAATACTTAGCTTCTCGTCGTGCGATGAAGGAGAATCCTTAGTGTTTCGTTTCTCACTTCCCCCCTTGTCCTTCGCTCGATGTTGTGCAGTGCAGGCCACGGCACCTGGAACAGTAGTGACTGCGATTGGAAGCTTGCGGGTTTTGGACGACATTGAACGAGGCTTGGTGCCACCTAGCACTGTACTCTCGACCCTCCACGATGGTCAGTTGCGAATTGCAACGAAGGATATTCTCAATCTCGCACTTACCGACAGCAGGGTGAATGATGAGGTGGTCAACTTCTACATGGCGCTATTAGGAACGACCGTATATGGGACAAGCGACATCCCGCCAGGCCTTCGAGTCTTCACCTTTAATTCTTTCTTCTTCAGTAAACTGCAACTTCAAGGGCACGGCGGGGTGGAAAGATGGGCTAAAAACGTGGATCTGCTTGAATATGATATTATCTTTGTTCCTATCTTCAAAGATAATAATCACTGGATCCTCCTTTCCGTGAGCTTGAGAGATAATGTTCTTGAGATTTTCGATTATTTTCCTTGCGTTGTAGCCGATTCTAGTTTTTACCTTAGTGTTTTCGAGTTGATCGTACACTATTTGGAATGTGAAACATCACATAGGCGCTCGTGCAGGCGCTGGATATTGTGTGTTCGATTGCTTGAGTTTTTCCACTCTTCTTGCCTTCGAATATAAAGAAGGGGGCAAGTGGCTTTGCTGCTTGATCGCAGTTGTTCGGTTTCTCCTCTTGAAGGGAAGCCCCTTGCTCCTGGTCTGCAGTGTCGGCTACCTTTTCCCTATGCTCAGATAACTCCCTTTTCAGAAACCCGGATCCTTTCCCCCCCTGTCTCTGACGACTTGGCGGGGTTTGGGTCCACGTTCATATGGGTGTTTTCCTCTTCCCCTTTCTTTTTATTCTTCGGTTTCCTGGCCTGAGGAAGCTCCTTGGGGGGGGGGAGGAAAGGCGGGGGGGGTTGTCAGTGGGGGAGGTAACCCTCTCCTCTTTCCTCCTTGGTGCCCTCTTACTCTTTCTCCTCTCCTTCCTCTTCTTTGACCGTTTCCCTTTTCCAGACTCTTTTCCAGCCTTTTCTCCTCCTTTCTTTCTTCCCATATGCTCTTTCCTCTTCTCCTGTCGCCTTTTCCTTATTTTTTATTTTTCTGTTTTCCTTATTGACGACCACCTCCTCCTCCTTTTTCTCCTTACTTTCTTTCTCTTTCTCCTTCTCCCCTGTATCTTTGTCCTTCTGTCCTTTCCTCCTTCTTCTTCCCTCACTTTCTGTCCCTTTCCCCCTCTTTTCTCCTTTTCTCCCGTGTCCCCCTCTTCGTTACCCTCTCCCTCACTTTCACTATCCTCGTCCCCTTCCCCTTTCTTCAGTTTGGGTTGATTCTTTGGACATGATGCATCTGTGGCCTTGTGGAAATACTTTCGGCATTTCGAACACCAAGGTGTCGTTGAGCAAGCCACCTTGATGTCCATATGACCATATTCCGATAGGTCCACAATTATACGCTTCTTATATTTTAGGGGTAACTACGGCACAGTCACGAAAACAGTTTGTAATTGCATTTGGAACTGCGTTTTAGCAGTTTAGTAAGGGCCCGAGTTTCAATTGCAGTTGAAACTCGGGCTGCGCAGTTCAGTCAGGGCCCTCGTCTATCCACAAACAACAGATTAAAAAATAAAAAAAATAAAAAACCATCCCTTATGTTGTGATTGCAGTCCTATACAGGATGCTACAGTGTTTCTCTGGAACTGAATGAAGTGAGGCAGTTAGCTGCCTCGCATGAAATCCGCCCTGCCTGGGTGGCAGAGCGCTACAAGGACCTCACACAAGAAACCGAAAAGGAAAACGACCTATTTCATGTTCCTCACTTCCTGGCCAGATACATTCCTCAAAGCATTGGTGAGGTCAGGGTCTTTCCTACGTAGGTGGATTCGAAGTTCCTCGTTTCTTTACTCTTTAATTTCTTCTTTTTCTTTTTTCTGTTTCTGGCCTCCATCCCTGCCCCTAGCCCCCCACTTCTTCAGAGTAGGCTACTCTTGAGACTTCGCCTTTGCCTGTGAAGGGTAGTACCTGCGACTGTGGCCGAGACATCTCGGTCGTGGCCAATCTGGGGCGTGGCCAGTCTGGGGTGTGGCCGAGACATCTCGGCCGTGGCCCAACCATGGAGCTGTTTTTTTTATTTTATTTTATTTTATTTTTTCAGGCGCGGAGCGGCACAGTGCATTACGGCACGCAACCAAAAAAA